AACCATTCTCTTTTCTAATTATACTCATAAAATACAATATCTTTAAATATCTTCTTTTTACTAGATAATATTTCTATGAAAAAATATTTTTAACATATTTTTAATTATAAATTAAAAACGAAAATTATAATTAAAAATATGCATATTATAAATTAATATAAATTAATTTGTAATTTCTAAATTTAAAACAATGATTTGATAAAAAAAATTAGTATATTATCAAGTTAAAAATATTTTATCTTTATAAATAACTACTATTTTTATCTTTATAAATATAATAATATTTTATAAAAAATACTATATCTTAATAAAAAATAAATGTGGGTTGTGTCCCATATCGGTTATATATTATTGTAGAGAAATTTAAAAAAATGCCACTTTTCAAGTGTCATTTTACAAAAATGCCACACTTTTTAAATCTTTACAAAAATGTCACTTTTTCAAAATTATTTTTTCTTTATATTATTTATGTTTGGGTTAATTATGTTCTAGTAGGGTTTAGTTTTAAGTGATTAGGGAGTTTTAGGTGTCAAACCATTGTTTAGGGTTTAGAATTTTAAGAGATATTCAGATAAACTTTATAAATCTATAATTAGTGACATTTTTGTAAATAGATACCCCTAAGTGGCATTCTTGCAAATATGCACACAAAAAGTGGCATTTTTGTAATTTCCCCTATATTGTAAAACAATTTTCTAAAAATGTATGAAGTCTCGCTTAATAGACGTTCAAATTCACAAAAGAATAGTTTAATTCGATTTTTAGTTGAATTGCATAATTAGACCATAAAAGGTTAATATTTATATATCTTATCTTGAACTGTGTTAAGTTTTGATATAAAGTTGTTGACAAAAAGAAAGAAATAATCGAACTTTACGTTTTGATATAAAGTTATTGACAAAAAGAAAGAAATAACCGAACTTTACCAAGCGTTCATTTGGCGTACATTTGGTTCATAAACCAGATCAACTTACTAAAGATGCCTTCTCCATTAATTGCCAAAAATTCTTAAACTTAATTAGCAGATAGTCAGCTACGGATTCTCCTTTGACTCTTCTTTCCTAACGTTTTATCTTTCAGTATAAACTGCTTTTCTACTAATCAACAAAAAAAACACATCCTACAAATGTCATTTTATACACAAGTAATAATATATGTTACAGTATAAATATGATGTATTTTGTTTTTGTTAATCAATATAAAAATACACCCTATATCCAATTGTAAAATTTTAAGGATTCAAATTTGTCATTGGATAGAAAATTCACGTTTAAAAATAAAAATTGTAATGCAATATGTAGAAATGAATATGTTTATGATGAACTCTTTTTAAAATAAACTACCATACCAAATGGAATAATAGAAACAGAGTGAACATTGGAAAACATCAACATAAGATCAAGGACAAAGACGATTCTGGCCAGGTCCTCCGAAGTAAAAATACGGTTCTGACATATACGTTTCTCGGTGGAGTTTTGTAGAATAACAGTCGTACTCATCAGAGTATTCAGATAGATACTCGGGATACTTGATCTGCAATGAATAGTCCTTGATCCTAATATTGGTGTGGAAGCAAGCTTTGGACCAGATGTACGATGCCCACTCTCCACTTCCCATTGGCGTTTTTGTGTGTGGCTTCTTCCTCACGTTAGGGCTATAGACTTCTCCACCCCACTGCACCGCGGTGGCGCTGTGTTTGAGGTCATCGAAGAGTGCCCCGGGCCAATACCCCAACACGATGTCTTGACAAGTCAGCCACCAGTTTCCGCTGTTTGGATCCTGCAGACGCGGTGGTTTTGCGGATGATTTATTAAACGTAGAGAGTAAATGATTATTTGT